TTCCGGGGCTTCCAGGCTTAAACTTTGCACAGGCAAAGTTTGCAGGCGGGAGCGTCTTCCCGCCGAGGAGCGGGAAGGGTTCTGCCCAGAGGGTGGGCGGGCTGCTTGGAAGAGACGACCCGACGGCGCTCCGGGTTTCCCCTCCGCCGCGCAGCTCGGGGCCAGGCGTGAGCGCCCACGAGGAAAAAGGACGCCGCAAGTTGCTGGGAAGTTGGTCGGGTGCTGGGAGCCGCCGTCATGGTGAGCGGCTCGTTGGGCACATTCGTGAGGAGGAGGGCTTTTAAAGTGCCGCCCGAGCAGGACTGCCGAGCCGGGAAACAGGGCACCAAGGCAGGGCAAGGCTCCACCAGAAGTGGCCTAGCTTTAGGTGGCTCCAAGCAGCCCGCTCCAAGCAGCCCACCCACCCGCCGGGCGGAACCCTTCCCGCTCCTCGGCGGGAAGACGCTCCCGCCTGCAAACTTTGCCTGTGCAAAGTTTAAGCCTGGAAGCCCCAGAAAAAAAAGGGGGGATCGGCGGGGACTCACCTTCGGAGAGGTCGCACTCGAAGGTGATTTGGAACTCCCAGCCGAGGCCTTTGCAAAGTTCTTTTTTTCTTTCCTACCCCGAGAGCGCTCCGCACTGTTTTGCAGCTTTGGGGGCCACGCGGCGCAGGGCAATACGCCACGCCCAATGATTTTTTTTCAGGGGCGGGCCGGATTGGACAGACCAATGGGCCGGATGCGGCCCGTGAGCTGTAGTTTTCCCACCCCTGACCTAGCAGGTACATTAAATTAGCCAAGTAGAGGTAATAATCAAACAAGCCAGGCTACTAAGAACAAGGACCAAGAGGATCCATGTACTCAAGACATGATACCCCATAGTGCTGGGAACACTACGCACTGCAACCTGCATGTTTAACTCCTGGTGCTTCTGGGATAGCATAGCCAGACACGGTGCTATGCTCCTTTGCCAAGATGCCTGTTTGTAGAGATCCTAAATCCAGATGCATCCAGTTCCCATTTGAGAGCATGATTAGGTGAACTAATTCTACTTTACTTGCAAGTCTACACTAACAGAACCTTGCAAGTCTGAAAGCACAAAACTTCCCATCTCTACTTTTAACTACTGGATCTTTCCTAAGTTTCTTTCTCTGACCGTTAAATGACTGCAGAGTCCTGTATCTTGTCTGATGGTTTCCTAGGCAGTATCTCCTCTTTCCCCCTTATTCATTCATTCCATTTCATCAGGTCACCTTCCTGCCCTCTTATCTGAGCATTTCCTCCTGTCCTCAAAGCCATTTCCTCAGTCCACTACAACCAGCAGAAAAGCAAAGGCAAATTCACCACACCAGAGATACACTCACCTCCACTGTGTCCCTCCGACTGCTTTAACTTTTGGTTTAATTCCTCATTTAGCCATTTGTAATGAGCCAATTCTTTTTCCAATGTCTGGATCTTGTGTTCATACTGAAGCCTGCTGTTTGCCTGTCCTTCTATATGTTCTGCAAAAGAATGAAGAAAATAAAGCCTTGTTAAAAACAGAGATTTGGACAAACTATGGTGGTGATTAGTTGCACAACAGAGACCAAAAAACCCCCACAAAATTAAAAAGCATCAGTTGAAGGAAAACAAAAGGAAACTTTTCAACTGAGGGTATGAATACATTTTATCTTAAGGATAAACATACATTTCACTATGCAACAATGTAAGAACAGCTAATAAATAATGAGCTTAGAGAGTGGCACTTTAGTTGACCTGACTGATCTTTAAAAAGCTCAGCAGGGTTGGAGGTACTTAAATGGGGGAGCACAAAGAAATCAGAACCATAGATTTGATTGCAAAGCTGGAAATGCACTCCAGAAGAGAGAAATGACAAGCCCTCCTTCAGTATTGCTGAGATGTCTGCATGAGTTGGGTCCATATAATCCCCTAAAGTCCAATTTTGATTAGAGGCTTAATTTTACCATTCATTGTAAGGTTATTCAAAGATCTCAGCTGCTGTGTTGGTTTTTCAGCTAAATGCATTTCTACAGATTTGATGGAAGAAGCCTTTCAGTTTTCCAAATTGGCAGGAGACAAGAATGGAATCCATTTCTTATGCAGCATCAGTTTATATGCCTTAGGAAATATGAACGATAAACCATTGGCAGGGTTCATTTCAGATGAGAAAGAGGTGATTTTTCCCAATTTCTTCAAGAACTCTCCAACAAAGCAGAATTAGGGCATGGCTACCACAGATTCTCCATCTTTTACAGTTCCACCTAAACAACTAGAACAATGAACTTACATAGTGTGTGTTTTTAGGAGAGGCAGTGCCACCAGTGATCAACTAAGGATTTAACAATAACCACGACTGTTCCTCAGTCCTATTTATTACCCCGACTCTGTTGGAGCAGGAGCTGAATGTCCTGCTCGTGTTCCTTCTGTTGTAAGGTCAGCTGACGATCCATCTCCAAGCGCTGACGCTCTAGGGCCACCTCCAACCAAAACACCATCTGTAGCTGCTCTTCCAGCTGCATTTCCAGTTCGGAAAATGCCACGTTCTGTTTGTGCTGGTCTTCTCGCAAGGTCACCACCTGATCATTAACAGGAATGTTTGGAAGATTTCAACTCACTGTGGTTACGAAAAAGCAACAAGCAGTTTCATGAAGCTAAACTCTACAACAGCTATCCCAGAACTGAACAGATACATAGTGGTTTAATTAGCTAAACATTCTTCTACAAAGCCAATCAATTTCTCAAGAAGGAAAAGTGACATGCAGAGAGAAGTCTACAGTTATCTCCCCTGACATGCTATCTATCGACAGTTGGGGAGTCACACACATTTCTGGGCCTGAGCCATGCATTATTGGATACCCACCTTATCAAAGTATTTGCAAAGAAGTGCCCGGGTCTCTGAGGAAGAGAGGTAGCTGAGTTTTGCCATAAGGTTCATCTCACATTGGGACAGAAGGCTGGCGGAGGACCTCAGAACCCGCTGTCTGCAAGTAATGGACTCATTCTTATATTCTATGGCAGCATCCAGGGCTTCAATGGCTTCATCCAACTGGAAAAGAATCCGCTCCTCCTAAAAATAGACCAACATCCCCATCACCCTAATAAATTATTTGATCCTTATGAGTGGTAAATTGATACTTCAGTTGACTAGAATCCCAATCCTCACTTTATCCTTCCTTCCTTCCTTCCTTCCTTCCTTCCTTCCTTCCTTCCTTCCATTCAGTTACTGTTACGGCCATTGGTAGAACAAAGGGAGCTCATGTTCTAAAGCAGGGATCTCCCAACTTGGCAAGCTGGCTGAGGAATTATGGGAGTTGAAGTCCACAAGTCTTGCAGTTGCCAAGTTTGGAGACTCTTGTTGTAAAGTATCACCAAATCCCCAAGTGAGCAGAATGACATCCATGGTTCAAGACAAACTCCAAGATACCTGATTATCCTAATGACTACAGTTTAAGTGTACTTGGTATCTCAACCCAACCTTTTTCATGGAATTGCTGTTGTGAGAATAAAACAAAGGGCAACCTTCTTACAAAATTCAGTAGCGCAGCGTTTACTAACTTCCATGATGCTTCAACCAAACACTGAGTTTGGTGTGTAATGGGATTATTATGTATTTTCAAAATAGAACGATCTGAGCTGCTTACCTCAGGTGATAGCAAGGTGCCCTGACGTAATTTCTCATCAATCTCCAACCTCTGTTTGAGCAACTGGTCCTTCTCCTGCCGCAAATTGTTAATTTCTTGCCGGATGAGCTGCTGGTCCTGTGAACTGCTATGACAAAGCTGCCCACTCCTCTGGGTTAGCTCTTTCTCTAGGTACTCCAGACGACTGGAGACATGAAGAATGTCATCATTCAGAGCCTATGGCAGAGAGAGAAGAAAAATATCTTAAGGAACATTCAGTGCCTGTTGGGAGTCTGCAAATTTGCCAGACTTCAATAACTCCTGGTAAGTAAATGTTTACTGAAGAGAGGTTAGGAAAGCAGAATTAGCAGAATGTCAACAGATCCCAGGAAGACACAGCTGCTTTAAAGAGTTGCAGAGAGACATAGTACTTTCACCTCCAATATTCTGAAACTTCTTTCTGAAGTCAAGTCCAAAGCATTGCACTGTGGTATCACTAGAATTGCCTAAGCTTAATCAAACTGTAAAAGGGATGTGGCGGCTCAGTGGCTAAGATGCTGAGTTTGTCAATCACAAAGGTCAGCAATTCAGCGGTTCAAATCCCTAGCATTGCGTAACCGAGTGAGCTTCCATAACTTGTCCCAGCTTCTGCCAACCTAGCAGTTCAAAAGCATGTAAAAATGCAAGTAGAAAAATAGGGACCACTTTGGTGGGAAGGTAACAGCATTCCATGTGCCTTTGTTGTTTAGTCATATTGGCCACATGACCATGGAGACGTCTTCGGACAGTGCTGGCTCTTCGGCTTTATAACGGAGATGAGCACCACCCTCTAGAGCCAGAAACGACTAGCATGTATGTGCGAGGGGAACCTTTACCTTAATCTTTAATCAAACTGATTCAGAGCTAGTTACCCCACACTTAACAGAACTTAAACCTAAATCACCATAGCAGAGGAGTTAGGAATCTATTTTGTATAAATAGCAATAAGCACTTAGACTTACATACCGCTTCACAGTGCTTCACAGCCCTAAGTGGTTTACAGAGTCAGCCTATTGTTCCCTAACAATCTGGGTCCTTATTTTACTGACCTCAGAAGGATGGAAGGCTGAGTCAACCAGTGAGATCTGAACTGCCAAATTGCAGGCAGGCAGCAGAAGTAGCCTGTAGTACTACATTCTAACCATTGCGCCAATGTGGCTCTTCATTCTTCATTTGCTCAGCATCTCTTACACAAGTTATCCATGTGACTGTCTTTCATTTAATCTTCTTTCTTAACCAAGGTTGATCACTATAATATCACTCAGAAAGTAAAGGGACAATTTTGCCCACCTGGCTAGACCGGAGTCTCTTGTTTTCCAGGTCATTCTTCTCCTGAAGGAGAGCTTCTTTCTTGGCGACAATTGTTTCTCTCTTGATCAATTCATCTTCCAGCTCACCCAGGGCACGTCTCTGCTTGAGGATTTTTTCCATCTCTACATCCAACCACTTCTTCTGCTCTTCAATTTTCTGATAGATAAACAGGAGAAAAGGAAACTAGTTTGTACCAGTGACCAGACATGCTAAACAATGTGTACGTTTTTATTGTCGACTGCCAAACAGAATTCCTACTCCAAAAATCCCTATATGGCCATACTAATGCCAATGTTTTCCCCTTGGGATCCATGGCTCATACCTTCCAATTACTTCAGAGAGAAGAATATGTTTGTGATACTGTTTTTACTTATTTATCCATTAACTTGAAATCAAATTCATAATTAATTAAATGAAATTTTATTTAAAAAAATGACTAATCTGAAAAACCATCCCCTAACCACGACATCCCCTTTGCTTTCCATGGTGTCAGTCATCCAGGGAAGAAATACAAAAAGCACAAGGAACATTTGAAAGGGGGTATCTCTCTGGGGTCATAATGGAGAAGATCTATCTATGAGGTCTTCATAGATAGTTGGGAATGACTTAATGGCATGTAATTAATTCCTGCTTAAGTAGGGGGCTGGGCTAGAAGACCTTCAAGGTCCTTTCCAGCTCATTCTGTTCTATCCCTTTAGGGAAACATTGGGAAAATTGGGAGAATTCAAGATCAAAGTCACAACCACGTCCAGATGATGACAATGTGTGCATCCCAATATCACTGTGAAAATAACACAATGATCCCATTTGTGTCATGATGTTAGTGTTGTCCTTGGCTCTGTTGTGGTCCAGATTCCTGCCAGGAAACCTGTAGGCAGCTGCCTTTACCTGCTGCTGTTCTAGACTGATCATTGAGTCATTGCTGCCACTCCTGTGCTTTCTCTGGTAGGCAGCTACCTCTTCCGTTTTGATCCTCAGAATCTTTTGATGTTGCTCATGTTTCAGTTCCAACTCCTAAAGACAGAAGGGGGAAAATACACAGTTTAACTAGTGTTTGAGTATCTATTTTAAAACAAAGAACAACTTGGATCTTCTGGGCAGCATATAGCTTCCGATCTATTTTTAATAATTCCTCAGGACAAATTTAGTTTTGGTTGCCACAATGTAAAAAAGATGTTGAGACTCTAGAAAGAGTGCAGAGAAGAGCAACAAAATTTATTAGGGGATTGGAGGCTAAAACATATGAAGAACGTTGCAGGAACTGGGTATGTAGACTGATGAAAAGAAGGTCTAAGGGAGACACGATGGTAGTGTTCCAATATCTCAGGGGTTGCCACGAAGAAGAGGGAGCCAAGTTATTCTCCAAAGCACCTGAGGGCAGGACAAGAAGCAATGGGTGGAAACTAATCAAGGAGAGAAGCAACCTAGAACTAAGGAGAAATTTCCTGACAGAGAGAACAATTAATCAGTGGAACAACTTGCCTCCAGAAGCTGTGAATGCTCCAACACTGGAAGTTTTTAAAAAGATGTTGGTTAACCATTTGTCTGAAGTGGTGTAGGGTTTCTTGCCTTGGCAGGGGTTGGACTCCAAGGTTCTCCAGGGTCCCTTCCAACTCTGTTATTCTATTCTATTCTATTCTATTCTATTCTATTCTATTCTATTCTA